AGTCTGACTTGAAGTGTCTTTGTCTGGAAACATTGACCCAGTGCATTTCCATTCTGCAAGCCATTTTGTCCCTTAGAGGCCAGACCAGAAAGGGGACAGTCCCCTGCAGCTAAGGTCCTTCCCCCCACTATGAAGGAGCAAAGTCAGCACGCTCCAATGAGGGACGATGGGACGATGGGGTACGTGTTTACCTGAACTTAGCTTGTGGCCGCTGCGAAGCAAACCAGGGTGGCCTGAACCACCCAGGGTGGCTCACAGGGAGGTGATCGCTGCCTAGGGCAGAGGAAGCTATTCCAAAGTTAAAACATGCTCCCAAACTATTGACTGGATCTCCCATCCTTACACTGTTCTTTCCCCAATTATGAAAAGGTTTTGGTGATCTGTGAATGAAATTGTCTGCCTACACTGTGAAATGTGAATTTCTTGAAGAAATAGCTTCAGGTGAATTTTGCAAGATGCTGTTTCCCCTTGATTACTACCAAAATGAGCAGGGACTCAAGGACCAAACCACAGCAGGATCAGATACTCTTGTCACAAGACGCCCTGATTTCATCAAGGCACATAAAATCGGTGTGGATATGCCTCATCACTGCTACTACGCAGCTTTTCTTGATGTCATTTTATATCTGAAGGGGCAAGAGTGTAAGTAAAACATTAACGAGGCTTTGCATTGCTCTACATTCCTGAGCAGTGACATCACAGCTGTGGGACACAGCGGCATCATTTAAACAGCTGTAAAACCAAACCTTGCTTTCCACTGTAACTTTTCCACGCATTAGAAATAGATTTGGTTACAGGTACTCTGGTTACAAGCACCTGCACTTACCACTTAGGCAGAATTTCACTCCCCTAACCACCCAAGCTCCCACACAGCCCCTTCTCGCCGGGTGCTGGACAAAGGTAGAGGCAGGTGTCCCCACCCGGAGGTGGCGGCTGGCCTTCAGCAGCCTCCCTTCAGACCTTTGCACCCCTGCGAGGGTGAGGCGGTTCGGCTGCCGCCTGCCCACCGCCTCTCAACA